TCAGGGTCATGCTTCACATGAAAACCAAGATAGTTCTAAACGCCAGATCTGAATGAGGGTGGGGGAGGTTCAATTTCGGGTAGCGTTGAGGCAGTTGCCATGTTGCAACGAGCTTAGCTTCTGTCTCACTAGCTTGCGCTGCGCTCAGTGGATCTGCGCTCGACAGTGCAGCCTAGGCGAAGTAGTCGAACGCAGATCCACTGAGCTGTTGGTTAGCACTGATTATTTATACATGGAATGTTTTCTTTGGTTTTTGGTTTTTTTTTTTGGTTGTTTTAACTCTTGATACTGTATGGTGTCACTGAGAGGTAATATGCTTATCATGTTATCTCAGATACAGAAGCCACACTGACCTTGTTCAAATCAGATAATCCTGTCATTAAAGGAAAAAGAATGCCCCCGCTGTTTCAGCTCATGAATTCAGTGGCTGCAATTAAATATAGGTATAAAGATAGAGATTGTTTTGAACTGTAAACCATGCAGAGATACTATAGTAAAGTCCAATAATAAAATATATGGAGGTGGCCGTGAAAAAAATAAGTCTCTTTAAAATTCCCAGATTGTAGCTGACTGTTAAAAAAAAAAAAAAAAATCTTTCCTTTGTCTTGTTTTCTTCAGCCTATAGTATATATTTGTATTGCAAGAGCAGTGCAGAATAATAACTGAGGCATGTGGAATATTTACATTATGCATTGTGGGCTATATTCGCAAAAGTGTTTCCAATAATTTCACTACTGCATCTCTGTGGTCCCCAAAGGTAAGCTACTGCTATTATGTCTAATAACTAGAGCCACAACATCATGAGTGTGGCCGCTAAAAAACAAAGGATAGAGTCATTAGTGGAATTAATGAGCAGAGTAAGCTCACTGTAAGCTACGACTTTTCAAATTCATACCACAAAATGAAACACCACACTGATCATTTTCTGAGGGTTGCACTACAAAGATAACTCTGGTTCTTATCGTGTGTATTTTTTCTTTGCATCATCTGCAGAAAACCAAAGAAGAAGCTGAGGAGGCCATAAGAATGTGACATTGCTGGAGATTAAAAAAAAAGTTCCCCTGAATTGTATTTAACCCTTTAATGCCTAGGGCGTCATATTACATGCATAGCCTACAGTTTTTTGCCAGTTTTTGGGACTTCAACATCATCAGTGTGATTTCTTCCCCCTAAAAAAACACAAATAAATTGTACAATACATGTACAATAAATATGATACAAATTAACTGTCATATATGGAAAATGAAATGTGATTTATTGAAAAAATTACAAAAAAATTAACAAAAGGAGGTTAAAAAAACCCACTATTTAAAAAAAAAAAAAAAAAAAAGTGTTAGCTTGGTGTCCTCTCTACAGGAAAGGGAAGAGAAGTTACGAACACCAGAAACAAAATTGTAGACCTTCTCCAGGCTGGGAAGACTGAATCTGCAATAGATACGCAGCTTGGTTTGAAGAAACTGCTCGACTGTTTCTGTACAGTGTGAGGTTACTGGGGAAAGGAGCTTTGTTTCCTAATGCTTGTGTATAACAACAAAGGGGCTTAAGACATGATGGTTTTTAAAAACATGCAAAAAGAAAGACAAAATGAAAAAATAAAAATAACATAAACAAAAGCCATGTTATTGGATGTAGTGCTGTCTTACTTGTTTTCTGCTTTTTCTTCAGCTGCAGTGCTCTGAAATTTCCTGGTCACCTGAGTAAAACAGGTTTATGTTTCTAAATAAACAATCAAACCAACAAGTAGGCCTATGATGCTTGATCTTAAAGCCTGAGATATGACCTTTGAGATATTTCCAGGTATTTCCAGTGCCAGATAACAGGTTTAACAAACTCCACTCAAAACAGATTAAATGTTTGCTTCTACTTTACTTTTAAAAGCTTAACAAACAAACAAACAAACAAACAAAAAAGATACAAAAGATACACTGTCACAGATAAATATAGTTGCAATAAGTAATCAATCAATCAAGTAATCAACTATATTTATCTTTTAATACCTAAATCAGTTTTTGAACTACACCTCTGGAGTCTTTACATTATGTACATTTGTAATATAATTTTGTAGATTGTTGGTCAGTTGAAACACTGGAGCTCCTGCACTAAAGTGACCTGGTGTCCCACTTTATGTGGCATTTATAATTCCTTGTTCGATCCCAGGGTGCCCTCTGACCACCACCAGTAGGCAAACATGGGGTTAGTATCTTGCCCAAGGATATTTGGCATGCAGCCAGGAGGCAGCCTGGGATCAAACCACCGACCTTCTGATCAGTGGCTGACCTGCTCTGCCACCTGAGCTACAGCCACCCTCACGTATATGAGAGAAAATCTGCTCACACAGATATGTAGAGCCAAATACTGTCAATAAGGCCTCTGCAATGTTCTGAAGACAGTTAAACTTGTCAGGTAGTGATGTCCAGCAGGTGAAAATGCAGCTCCATGAACACGCACATCTGTGGATTCCAACTGCATCTGTAGTTCTGCAAACTTTGACCCCGACAGAGTCGAGGTTTTCAGTTCAATCAGCTGCATTTCGATGTCCTCTGTATCCAGCCAGTTAAAGAGAGAAAAAATCCAGCTGCTCATTAAAACTTTCTGGTAAGAAAAGAAAAGAAAACTGCTCCATACACCTGAAAGTCCCGAAAACACATTGTGAATTCTGTCTACGGATGTATCCATGTACAGAGGCTTGCAAAAGTATTGCAAATACTTTTGCAAAAGTATTGCAAAAGTATTCGGCCCCCTTGAACCCCTTGAACCACATTTTGTCACATTACAGCCTCTGTTGCTTGTGAAGCTCGCACACAAGAATTTCACTCACATGTGCTGTACCAATGTACCTGCACATGTGATGTGACAATAAAAGTGATTTGATTTGATTTGATTTGATTTGACAAATATGAATCAATTTTATTGGAATTCCACGTGAAAGACCAACACAAAGTGGTGTACACGTGAGAAGTGGAACAAAAATCATACATAATTCCAAACATTTTTTTTTACAAATAAATAACTGAAAAGTGGGGTGTGCGTAAAAATCAAAACAAAAAAATCAGCCCGGGCATTTTGACTAGAGACCGGCCCACCAGGTATTACAGGAAAAGCCATAAAGCCTTTGGAAAAAAAACAAAACAAACGCTGTTGTGACAGTGATGTGCACTGTTTTGTTGGTATATGTATGATTTCTATACATTTTACATCAGATAAAAACTTTGGTTGTAAGATTCAGATAATTATTTGTTAAAAGCTAGACATTTTAAATGAGAATAAGAAAGAAAAGTATTTCTTTGTGCCCCCCTTTCCCTGTCAATGACCTACCTGGCCCCCTGGCAACACTTTGCTAGACCCGCCCCTGCACAGTTACCAGCTGTCAGCTACATAGAAAAGGATCCTGGTGTTATTTGTCTCTCAGAAACAGTTCATAAATTCCCTTCAACTCATTCATGTCACCTAAAAGGTAAACCTGTTTCTCCATCACCTGTTCAGCTCTGATGATCCAGTAAGGACATCTCCTGGTTTCATCTTCATGTTTCCCTCTCACCAGATAACCAAACCATATCATGACCAGCAGCTTTACAGCTGTGGCTCCAGCAAACATCAGCTGATACTAGAAATTAATATTAAATAAATTCTAACAACAGCTGATCAAGCTTAAACGTGCTGCTGTTGTTTAGTGTGACATCCACTGGTTTCCTCTTTCTGGTGCAAAGTGGGCGATAAACAAACAAGAGAGCCGATCAGCTGATCATTGATCAGTTTTCATGATTGAAGTAGAAACAGGAGAGGCAGGGGGAGAGAATGAGAGAAGAAGAGGCAGCTGTACAGCTCCAACTTTGTGTATTTTTAATTGTAGCTAAAGTTCGGGACAAACTGTGTTCCTTTTCACCTCAATACGAAACACGTAATATTTTCCCTGACGGGTCGAATCCATTTTTACGGGACTACTAACTAAACTTATGAATAGAATAAAGTTCATTATCAGTAACATCATAACACCCACCCAGCAGTTTAGAAACTCCGTCATGCTAGCTAGTATGCAGTATGAGTTATTGTAACTGACTGTAAAAAGTCAGCATAACGAAAATAAACTCCAGCTAAACTTAGTTTATATCTGACCCAGATAGACTGCAGGTCATAACTTCTTACCTGAAGTTCAGTTCACCTGACACTCGGACCGCCTCAGGTCTCTCCTCCTCCACCAAAAAAACTGAGTTATTTTTCACACCGGCCAGCACCACCTTTCATTGTTTATACCGTTACTAAAAAAAAAATTAAAAAAAAATTCATAAAAATGAAAAATCGCCATCGGCCCACTGGACAAATGGTCGGTATGCCTGATGGCCAGTCCAGCTATGGTCGTGCCATAGCTGGACTGGCCATCGCGAAGGGGTCGGCAACCCGGGGCACGCGTGCTGTTGCTGACCCCTGGTCTAGAAGCATGTGGTTAACAAAGAGAGAAAACATGAAGCACAGATGAAGCAGCTGGAATAACAATAATGGGACAATAGAAAGGAACACCAGGAGGCAAAGGCTAACGCACAATAAAACGGTTCAGTTATCATTTATGCTTATTGAATTATTAGTATTCATCATTCAATGCCAGAGGAGCATAGTTTGTCTGTTTATTTATTTATTTATTATCAAAAACTAATTTAAATCAGTAGTAACATTTTTGCCACATATTAACTTTGTTTTGTTAGTTTTTGTTTGTCCTGGAGACATGTTTGTGTGCACAAACAAAACAAAGTATGGACACACAAGAAAACATTTCATTATAGCACGGTCAAAGGTCAAAGGTCAAGGCCTTAGGTTTGTAATAGTTGCTCAACCAGACCATATCATTGGCATTACAAGCATTTAATGAAGTTTCCTTTTAACATGTGCACACTCGCAAGAACCGATTGTTTGCAACACACAAATTCTTTTCTCATCAGACTTCTGAAGAAACCACGCCTCCTGTTACTGCAGGTGAGTGTTTCCTTTAACCAGTGCTGAAGGAGTCATGCTGCACAGCCTCACTCACTGCAAGGAAGCAGATGCACCAGTTTCATATTTGAGGTAAATACTTTATGTTTGGTTGTTTGTTTAATTTACTGTATAATAGAAACATAATGTGTGTCTCTGTGGTTCTAACTGACAGCTTTAAACTGTTAAACTTTTAGCCTCAAAAATGTAAAACTTTAGTTCTCATTTGCAAATTCTGTGGTGATTTAAGGTGTATTTGTTTATTCGTGAGGCAATTTACAGCAAGTTACATTGTAGTAGTTATTATCCCTCTATGCTGTACATTACACAGTGTGTGTGCAATGAAGGCCATCTACAGAGAAGAAACAGTTTAAGCATAACAAATAATTACGACCTAATTAACATGAATTCTTACCCTTTTTTTGAGTCAAAATAGATAAAATCATTTATTCTGATTATAGTTAAGTGTTGATAGATCATCAAGTTGAGATAGGATGCTGTTTTTAAACATCTACATTTTTTGAGCACAACATGAATGCAGAGGTATATCTCTTTAATGTGACGATTTCCTTCTTGTTCTACAGAACAAAATGAGCCTGAAAAGCTGGTTTGGATTCTCAGTCAGCCCAGGTAACCTGACACAACTGTATTCAAATGTAAAGCTCAGTACTTGTTTAAATGTGTATAAAAATACTTCAGAAAACTCTGCTTTTCTTCACTTATTATTTTTTACTGGCAGTTGGAAGCAACATTTTTGTTTTTGACATTGGAGATTATTATTATTATTATTATTATTATTATTATTATTATTATTATTATTATTACAGTTATTTTATTTTCAGTATTTTCTTTAATTATTCACTTCAGAGAATTTGACTTCTTCTCCGGTCATCTGCATCGGTGTTGTCGGTACTGTTGTCTCGGGGGCCGTTCTTCTTGTCAAATACAAGGTAAACAAAAGAAAAACAGTAAATCATAAATTCCTTTTTCACTTTTTCACAAACTAAACACTAATTGATGATTACCAACTTAGGTGTTGTTTTTGGAGAGAGCAAAAATGAAAATAAGACAGCTGACAGAAATTCAACTGAGGCTTTGAGCTGAAGAAAAACAATGAAACCAAACCTATAAGTAAACAATGGACATTTCTTCTGTCTACGTCAGATGAAGAAAGAAACAAAGAGAATTGCGTGTTAGAAGGAAGTCTAACCTGAACAACAAGGTTCAGTCAGAGATGAATCAGAAGCACAAAGCCAAGAGAGCAACTCAGGAAAAAGACAGGGGGAGGAGAGAGAAATTAACCTACTACACTAAAAACGAATTTTAAATGGTGTAAATATGAATGACAGTCATGGCTGTGAGTAAAGGCATGATAGTAGGACACACTTAGAAAAATGCAGAAATAGATACCACAATAAAATTACCAACCATCACATTGAGACTCTGTTGTAAGGCAAACACAAGTTTTTGCTTTGTTGACTTTTGACAGCTTGTTTCACTCTCTCTTTAGTGCCACTGGTGCCACATTTGTGTGTACAAATCTAAACAAAAGTAAAGGTGCACTGATGAAAACATTTTAAATAGTATGTACACTAAAAGCAAACCATTAAAAAAGCATAAAAAATCCACTTGCATAAACTGAAACAACTTCCTCGACATGTATGTACTGAGCTCCTGATCTTTTTAAACACAGAAGACACAAGCTGAACTCAAGAGGAAGGATGAGGAGATTGAGGTGCTCAAAAATGAGGTAACTCTATATAACAAATTAAAGCATTGTTCTGATCTGGAGGGAGTGCCCAGGGCAGATCCAGGACACAGTGGAAAGACTACATGTCTCTACCAGCTTGGGAGCTGCTTGATGTTCCCCAGAGCTGAAGCAGGGAGCTGGGAGGAGGAGTTCTTGGCTTTCTTGCTTACACTGCTGGCCCCATTCTACAAGCCTGGATGAGCAGATGAAGATGGATGGATGTGATAATATGTCACTGCTCTCTTCATTTTTGACCAGAGACAGATTGGCAACTCTTCCCCCATTTATATGTAGCTATTAAGCTAAGCTCTGGGATAACCAGTATGACTAAAGTAATATTGATCCTCTCCACTTTTGTTAGCTGGAGAGACTTCAGTGGCTGAGAAATGACACACTTAAGGGGTAGGGATCACAACGGAAGTTCACCAAGATTACCTCTGCTATCAAAAGGATGGAGAAAGTAAATCTCAAATACATACACCTTCTTGTACAATGTCACCACTGTTCCATTAAGTTTGTGTCAGATCACAACAGAAGTCATCTCAAGGGACTTATATGATGGGGAGGCAAAACCACTTAAAGAATGAAGCCTTTGTTAAAAGCAGAGTGAGGATACGCAGCAATGTTTACTGTCTCTTCAGTTGGAAGGCAAAGTAAACAAATCTCTACATAAATTAATAAACATTTTATACATTTCTAGAACCAAATCTGAAGGTGCGTTGTAGGGAAAGGTCAAGATCTTTAGGTGACCCTGGTATTACAGACACAGCAGAAATACATTTAAACTTAATACAACAACATGGTTATTCATGTATTTTTCAGTTGGAGGAAAATGTAGACTTAGATAGGGTCCAATCACTCTGTTCTAAGAATGAATCGTTGCAGAAAGACCTGCAGACCCTGAAGACAGAGCTCGAGGACAGCCAATCAGAGGTTATTGTCTTTTATTTCCTTTACCTCTGTACATTCAGTTTGATATCAAGTTATATCTCAATGCACTGAATATTTTTATATGACCCCATCAACCTCCTTCTAAAGGAGGACTAGAATGAACAACATTTAGCTATTCTCTAGTGCTAAGATTGTTGCCAGTTGCTATAGCATCAACATGAACGCTTGTTCACCAACCACCTGGCTTTCAGAGAGCTTTCTTCACTTCAGTTAACAGTCAACTCAACTGTAAAGTGATTTCTCATTTTGAAATAATGTTTCCCTTTGCCCAAGTTAAAAGACAAAGCAGATAAAGTCATGAAGCTCCGTGCTGAGAAAAATAGGAGCACAGAAAATGAAAAGGAACTGCAAACCATGAAGCTGAAGATTGAGGACAAGAATAAAGAGGTACATGATTTTGAGGTTACTTAGAATCATTCAAAGTGAGTACTCTTACTCACAGGACACACACAGCAGATAGTGGTTAAAACATTTATTTCAAAGCATTAAACAACCTGAAACCACCACAGCATAAATCTTTTTCTTACTCAGCTGAATGAGGAAGTATCAAAACTACAACGTCTACTTAATAAAGAGGAGCAGAAGAGGAGGGATATTGAGATGGACGTGCAATCCCTGAAAACAAAGGTGGAGACCAACGATAAAGAGGTAACTTCATTTTCATTTTTCTTTTTATTATTACATTAACCTTTTACCTTATATCTTTTATTTTATACATTCAGGTTTGAATTTTACTTCAAATACCAACATTTTTGAAGATGTTATATTTTAGTTGCAGTTTAGTTGCAGTTTCTCTCTATTCAATGTCCTTTTTTGAAGATAATTACTGATGTTTAAAATAATTACATAAATTAAAATAATCAGGTTAAATATTTAATATTTGATTTGTTTAGTTAAATGTGCTCATTGTTTCTCGTTCCCCTGAGTTAAAAGAAAAAGAGGCTGAACTCTCGAAGCTCCGTGCCGAGAAAAATAGAAGAGAACAAGATGAGAAGGAGCTGCAGACCATAAATAGGAAGCTTGAAGCTGAGAAGAAAGAGGTTCATATTTTGTTCCTTAGACTTAATGTCTAATATTCGAATGCACAATAAAAAGTTGACATGCATTTTCTTCTGTAATTATGTTGTATGCAAATGTATCTCTACCATTTTCCCTCTCCTCCCAGCTGAATGATGAACTAGCTGAAGTTCGAAATCAGCTCAGGGAACAGCAGCAGAAGAAGAAGGATGCTGAGATAACTGTAGAGACACTGAAGAAAGGGCTGGAAACCAACAGTACAAAGGTTATTTACTTCAGTTTTTTCAGTTTTAAGTATTATTTCATTAGCCCATTACACCATATATTCTGTTATATTGATTCTGTGTTAACTCATGCTTTATTAATCTGTTATAATTTCTCTCTGGAACCAATGATCTCTGTTCGCCACATATTTTGTTTTTAAAATTAATGTTGATATTTTTAATGTTGACATTGTCCTTCATTGTTATAATTTTTTTGATGGCCACTGCAATTTTGTCTAAAATCTAAACGCAATAACAGCTTTATTCCATCATTTTGGTTTGTAAATATTTTCCCTATCATAGTTGAACTGAACAAATAGATAACCTACGCAGTACCTAACAGAAGCTTTTCTCTTTTATTAATTGTAACTCTGTTTTCCTTTTCTCCAAGGTCAATGATCTAGAGGCTGAACTCTTGGAGGTCCGTGCTGAAAAAAATAGAAGAGAACAAGATGTGAAGGAGCTGCAGAACATAAACATGAAGCTCGAAGCCGACAAGAAAGAGGTTCATATTTTGTTCCTTAGACTTAATGTCTAATATTTCTATAAATAAATAAAAAGTTGACACGCGTTTTTTCTCATCACAGTATGTAATCATGTTGTATGCAAATGTACCAATTTACCTTCCCCTCCCAGTTAAATGAAGAAGTAGCTAAATTAAAGCAGATGCGTGGGAAATAGAAGCAGATGTCCTGATGTCCTTCCTGAATGAAGGAGCTTTGAGACCAAAGACATAAAGGTTTGTATCTTTCATTTAGATGCATTCACCAAGGTCTTCATTACTGATTTTTCACTGAAAGACAAATGTATTCAAATAACAAAAATTTCAAATTAGGAGTTCATCAAACTATCTTTAATGTGATAGTTATTCTCTGTTTGAGTGCATGGAAATATATTGGTTTTATATTTGTACATTTTTTTTAATTTTGTTTCTCTTTTTTTCAGCTTCTCAGTCATTTGTACACATAGTAGGTCCCACCCCACTTACGTATGTTCAATTCATAATTATTAACTACTTTTATATTTTTACATCATTTTTTTATATTATACTACTTAGACATAGACAGTAGGGTTGTGGGTCAGAATGGCCTTTTAATCATGCCAGCTTGCATACTATGAAAAGTGCCTGCGTGTAGGATGCCTGGGTCGTTGACCCAGGGTTTTTGAGTTTATTATTTCTAGTCTGTGGTTTCTTTGAGTTCTGTCTTATGGTTTACGTCTCTGTCTTCTCTAGTTGCTCTGTCTCCCCTGTCTGCTGTATCCCCTTGTCTAGTTTGCGTCTCTGTGTATCCTTAGTTGCTATATCCCCGTGTCCAGTCAGTGTCTGTGTCTGCCCTGGTCCCACGTCTCTGTTCCCTCTGTTGTAGTGCCTGCGTGTGAGTCTGTGTCTTTTGTTCAGTCTGTGTTATGGGTTTCCTGTTTTACTTTGAAAGTCCATGTCTGATGTTAATGTGTCTGGTTTTGCTTCCCCTTGTCTCGTTAGGCCTGATTTGCCCCAGCTGTGTTTCCCTCCTGTTACCCATTCCCTGATTGCTCCCTCTGTGTATTTAAGCCCTGTGTTTCTCTGTGTCCGTGTCATGATCTACCGTTTACCTGTCAGTCCTCCGGTTTAAGTTTATTTTGATTTTTTCCTAGTGATGGGCAGATGAAGCCTCATGAAGCACTGAAGCTTTTCATCCAATTGGTTCACCCCAACGCCAAGCTTCTTGAAGCTTCATTTTAGTGATGGTGAGATGAAGCCTCATGATGAAGCCTCATGATGAACTGAAGCTTCCCATCCAACTGGTCGACTCATGGTTCGAAGCATTGTGATGATTCATTTGCTCTACTGCGCCATCAAGTGGACAATTCAAGTGAAACGGGCTCAATGATTATAATGATGTGATGTGTAAACCGCTAAACTGAATAAATTAATTGTTTTTCATGGTTATTTATCCCGAATATTGTCTCAGTATGTCTGATACAAAAGAGAAAGTGGAAACTATCAGTACACAGTTTTTGGGATGATTGTGTAACTGCGTAATCATTCTTATGTACATCTCAATAATGACACAAACTAGTGTGTGGCACTTCAAGTTGAATGAATAAAGGAATTA